CAAATGCTCTGTGGATTTATGTAAAAATGCAGTTCCTGGGTAGAAGGTATAGGACATATTCTTCAATGTAAATAAAAACTGCGGTCTTTTAAATGCAGATAGAGAGTTAAATGTTGTTGTTTTTTCTCCTGCGGAAGCTGCATCCCAGATGAGGAACACATAGATTTCTTAGAATATCACACTAGGAAATGGAAGATTTACAAATGAACCAAAACTAATTAAATCAGAAGTTAAATAATATTTTCGTATTCTGTTATTTAAGTCACTTAATGTGAAATAAAACATTTTACTTGTCCATTGCACTTTTTATGATTCACTACCATCGTGTCTTTCTTATTCAGTACATCACTTCTGAAAAGCATTTCATATTTGGCGCATTTTTTTTAATGAGCAGGACAGAGGTTAGTATTGTTGCCTTGCTGTGCCAGCTGGCCTTGGATTCAATTCCAGACCAGGGGAGCTATCTGTGTGGAGTTTATATGTCTGTTTGTATGTTCTCCCTGTGTTCGTGTGGGTTTCCTCTGGCTGCTCCAGTTTCCTCCCACAGTTCAAAGACATATTTGGTGGGCTATGGAAAATCGGCTGTGGTGTGAGGGTGTGTATCTGTGTATGTCTTCTCTGTTTGCCCTGCAAAGGCCTGGCATCCTGTCCAGGCTGTACCCCACCTTGCGACCTCTGCTGCCAAGGCTCCAGCTCCCCTGCGACACATAATGGGATGAAGCAGTTCGAAAACCGATGGGAGTTTTTTTCTATTTGCTATTAAAACATTTAGGCTAATCTGAACAGCTAGCAATAAAATGTGAAACACTTGTATAGACCTTTTATTTTGGACTGATACACAAAAATGAGTGAGCCTTTATTTGGGAAATATTTTTGGGAGAGTAATTTTAAAACATATCGGGGTATTAGTTCTAAATACCTAATAAATCAGTCATTAATGATAAGCGCCATCCATCAATTTTCTTACCACTTTATCCAATACAAGGTCGCAGGGGAGCTGGAACCTGTCCTGGCAAACTTATAAACACCATTGGATTACTCTTTATCAGATGATGAAGTCCATTATGATAATGATGTTGCCTCAGAACTGAAACACTTCTGCAGGCAGAGAAACCTATGCCATTTTGCCTGCAGTGAATCAACTAAGCATGGTGTCACTAGGAACTCTGAAGAGAAAGGAGGTAATCTGAAAGGAGCCCCAAGTTAGGTCAAGTATGGATAACTTTCAAACTGCAGACAAGGAAGCAAGAACTAACTTAGGCTGGTGAATGAAGGATCACTCAAGTGTCCCACCTAGCAAACATTCCTCAGAAACCAATCAAGATAATAATATTGCAGGAGCTGCTGGTTTATGAAATGGCTATACAGTATGTGTATTTCAAAGTGCATGAAATTCCACCTTCACTCTCCATTAATATGCTCTGGAATGACAAAAATGCATTTCACATTTCACATGAGGTGCGCCACTAATGCACAATACTGTAGGTGAAAAACGTTCCCTTTTGCACTAAGGAACATCCATTATGAACATCTCCTAATGCAGCTGCTTGGTCTGTGATTTTTTTGGAGAATCCACTCCACTTGTCTTGTGAGATGCACTGTAACCAGTGAATTATACCACGCATTTCTGACAGAACCTCATCATCCTGAATTTCAATGTGACACAAGAATGGCACACTTCCCCAGAGAGCCTCTCAGTGGCTTGCAAGATCACCGGACATCACTCCTGAGGAGTTCTGATTATGAGAGAAGGCAAATGATCAGGTATAGTATGACTATACAGTATGACATCTCTGCTATTCCATGTGACATAGCTGTCACTCCCAAGAACCTACTGAAGTCAACAGTTTGAAACATCATGACATGTCTGGATATTGAACAGAAAGAGGTACATATTGAATGATTTGAGGACTGTAGTCTAAGCTGATTGCAAATGCTTTATTGTCATTCACACGACCAGGATCTCAGAAATGATTTTCAAGAGAAATGGAAGTGTACTCACTCAGATTTTCTTCTAAGTGGTGATTGCAGGTCTTTATGATCATTCCCTATATCTGGTCCAAGTAGGCATTATAGCTATAGCAACAACACCAAAAGAAATGACAACCTTCTCATTGCCATTTGACCTAACTAGTCTATTTCAAAAGCCCCCAAGTCTGTACTTAAATGCCAAGATGCATTATTATCTCTGCCAGGTAAAGCAAATGTTTACAGTTTACAGTGAGTTCACACAGATGTATTTCCTCAGTGCTATTGCCTGTGTGGCTAAGTGATGCCTCCAACATAGAAGTACTGTATGCATGTTAAAGAAGATTTGATGAACAGATGGATGCACTGCCAGGAGCACTAAAAAATACAAATTGCAAAAGCCCTGTTTAAGTAAGACAGTCTTCCAGAAGAAGAAATCTCAGCAAAAAAACATGTGCAAACAGATGTCTGTGATGACACATAGAACTTGTGAGATTGTATTTACAGTAGGCACTTCATGCTTTTATCTCTCCCTGCCTTTGACAACAATTCACCTTGAAATTCTCAGGCAGCAGTTTAAATCATTTTTTGCAATGGTTTTTGGTTTCAAATTAGTTCATACACATGGACCACATGAGTGGTCGTAAACACAGATAAATACTGTATGTCAAGTATTCATAGACCATACTAGATTTGCAGAATGTTACTGCTGCACTCAAACACAAATATGTTCTTAGCCATAAACTAAAATACAGGCCTTAAATGGGTAGAAGCTGCCTTTGACAATTAAACATCTTGTGTGTAAAGTAGGGCTGGGCGATATAGCCAAAAACATTATCAAGTTAAAAATTTTCATATCAGTTGATATCGATAATTATCACGATAAATGTCAAATCATTATTTCTTTCAAGTTTAAAGGCAGATTTTTTCTCCTGCGTGAAAGTTGAAGAAACCAGACGTAAATTAAACAACTCTTTATTTTAAGAACACAACAAACACTTGCCTAACAGCAGAAACATTAAACAAATCTGCTAGCTGCCCTACAGGTGTTTGTGCCCTGTGGACCAGTGTTCCCATTCAGGGTATAGTCTTGCCATGCATAATTTGCTGCTAGGTTAGACTTCAGCCCAACAAGGTCCTACAGGGAAAAAAGAGTAATTTAAAGTGGAAGGAAGGATTATTGAGTGATATCCAGATTTTTAAAAACGGGACTTCTAAGGGCCATACCTCCTCAAACATACCTGTACCACTTCAGACTGTGCTTGTGTGTGCTTTTGTATAAGGTTCAATATTTGCCAAGAATATGAACACATTTAAAATCCTGTTTTTTCTCCATGCTGACTATTAGACATATTAAGGAGGATAAAAAACACAAGAAAACAAAACAGTAAGATCACTATTAATAAGTCATTTCAACAACACTGGCCCATCGCCTAACTCTTTCGACTTCGTTATAATTTACACGTTATTGGTAAGAGCATTTTGTATGATATGCAGAATACATACATATAAAATCAGGTATTAAGGGGTAAATGGTAGTTGGAAAGTCTGGTACTTTGAATTACAAATGTGCTTTTAAAGCAATTCAAATCCATACCTAAATCCAACTTAGTGGAGCTTTTAACTTATTAGCTCACGGTGCGCTGTCTTATGAAGACAGTAGGTAAGACTCGTGCTGGCTGTGGAGGAAATGAACTTGTGTGAAAAGCTGCTTTGTAGTAATGTATGTGGAGTACAAATTGCTCTTTCGGGTTTTCATCGTATACTGTAGTACCAGGTTGCAAACATAGTTGTGCAGTGCATTGTAAGACAGACCCCGAAATGCAGAGTATTAGAAAAATAGGGTAAACTATTACAACACTAAGGAGTGGAAGTATTCTAACACTTTTTTGGTCAAAACTTGAATGAATACATTTTCTTTATTCGGGTCGTAAACAGAAAAAAAACACACCGCGCAGGAAATAAGATAGACCAATAAAAAGTATTTTTCATATACGAATAGGAATTTTCTAACATTGCCTTCATGAATCAAACCTAAAATAATGTAGGGGTTTCCACAGACATACATAAATAGATCAGAATGTAGAATTGTTAGTCGTTTCCAGTGTTAAATATGGGTTTATCTACAGTATGAGTGCACGCTTGAGTTGTGTATGTGTGTGGGGGGGGATTGAATCAGTAACTAAAAACGTAAGAGTGTTAATTTTGTTCTATTAATTGGTACATGCCTCTGACTTCTCTGCACAACAACAGGATCTCCATTAAAGGAGCAAAGACGTAAGTAGAAGAAAGCTGAGGGGATTTAGAACGAGATCTGATTTGCTGGGTTGCCAATGATAATATATGGGGGCACTAAAACTCCCACCTATGAGAAAAAAAATCTTTATTTTTGACTGCACAAAATCGAGCTTAACAAAAACACCACTATAGCAGAAATAGAATGTGGAAACCAGGGACACGCGTATAGTGCTGGTTTAGTTATGCGTTACAGAAAAAAACCCACATTGCCAGAATACTGCGGCCATAGAGAAAAAAAGGAGTTACCACGCTATCTTCGTCCAGCTCCATTTCTATGCAAATTAACCACTAACTGGGACGAATCAACTTTTTTAAAATGTCAAGACATAAAAGCAAAATTGAAGACGATTAACACATTTATTTCCATATGCGAACATGCCCCTCCCACGTGATTTCACCGATAATTGGCATAAAATATTTCATTTAAAGGAAAGAAAAATAAAAGATTAATTAACACAAAACTAGAATGAGGCCAAAGGATCATTTCACATAGCCAAACAGCTTCAACTAGTTTGTCTACTTGAAGTTTTGAATTACATGTAAATATCTTGTAATGAGAAATTCGTGTGTTTCATTTATTTATTTTGGCATGGTGACACAAAACAACGCGTTATTAAAAAATGAATAGAGAGAAAGATGAAAGATGAGGGTGAAAAAGAATAACAGCCCCGCTTGAAGTTCAGCCCCTCCCACCGAGAGAGCGTTGCCCTGGTGACTGCTGGGTTACGTGCTGACGCTCGATGTATATGAGCGCGAGCGGCGGGATCTCTTTCCCTTTTACCGCCATCCGCGCGGAGCCTTTTTCCCGGAGCCCGAGCGCTGCGCAAACCCGTCCGTAGGAGAGGTAAGCGGCGACCGTTTTCAGCCCCCCGGTCCTCACAGCTCCACTGGCCGCCTTGCGGGGTCTGCTGCTCTTTCGTTACGACTGTGTTTGTGGCGTCGGTGGCCGGGGGGTGAGACCGTACAGAACCGTAAAGCATCCCCGTGAAGGAAATAGAAAACAATAATTCGCCGACGCTGTTAAGTCATCACAGACAGCAGCCATTGAGACTGAACCTCCATGATGCGTGTGCTGTGCATGCATAGGGCTGGAAAAAGATGGGTCTTCTCACATTACTCTTTTGGAGCGTGTTGTTCTCCTACACCTCGGGGTGTGACAGTTTACGGGCCTCTCTGCGATTAAAAGGCAGCCGTACGACTGGTTTTCATCCATCTAGACTTGACCTTATTTCTTGAGTAACGGGACGGGGAGTGTGGGGTGGGGGGGGGGTGGGATAAGTTTTTTGGTATCCGATCACGTTGTGCAGAATAAAAAATCATGGCTGCTTGTCAAACAAAATGGCTAATGGAATTTTACTGTGCAGACCCCCTGTTCCGCGTTCAGGCAAAACGTGCAAGCGTGTTCAGATGAGGACAGCCCGTTGCTTCAGTCACGTTAATGTGCTTTCTGCATCCCCAACTTTTCTCAGTCATACGGTTGGAGTAATGTATGCCGAATCGGATATATCACGGCATGTGTTTATAAAAAAAAAAACAAATCTGTAATACGTAATGGTGCTGTACGATTTGGGGGTATGGAGCTGTATATGAAAAGCGATCCAGTATTGGAGTATTGCATTGTGGTGACAAGCCCTTGGGCGAAGGATTAGCCACATTTCCTGACGACTATGGAATTGAGACTTAAAATATTCAATTTAGGTCAACAGTTAGTGCGGGGGGCGAAATGGTGTCTTCTTTCTCGCTATGACATTTTTTCCCCCCTGTTGCCGGGCACGGTATGGCAGCAACACGTGGTTGAGTGCAAGCGAGAGGCTCAGACGCAATATGAAAGAGCCCTATCGGGTAGGCCGAGTCGGAAGGAGAGCTCCTCTCGGCTGTCGCAGGCTTTTTGAAGAAAGACTATTTTTCGTTAGAGGTCCGTCGTCTAGAAAAGTAGAATGATATTATTTCGGCTTAGGGTTTATGGCTCCGTATCTGCTTCCTTTGGCCAGCTTACGCGTACATTTAGTAACCCTGTCACTCCGGTGCTGCGTGGCTGGCGGGCAGAAATGTTTGTTTCTCCTTCCGTGCAGGAGCAGTTCGGCTTCTTTCGTCACCGGCGTTTCCTGGGCTTGTAAACAGCGATTGCAGATCTGCTGTGGCACCTGTTATCCGTTCCTTTGTCTTGCGTGTGTGTGTGTTTTTTTTAAATAAATTAGATATTGTCTTTCGTAATGACAAAAAAAATCCCGTAATGCTTGGACGTGGTAAACCTAATGGGTTTTTAATATCGGAGCTTAATTTTGGGAAGCCCAAAATGGAGGCCGAGTGAGTGTCCTTAATTTACCTGCGGAGAAACAAATATCGCAAAAATGGAGTGTGCTGTTATCCTTTTAATTCCAAGAGGGATGCACTCCAGTGTTTGTAGAGTAGCCTTTTTTTTAACCGTGTTACCCCAACCCTAAATGTGAACCCCTCTCAATAAATGATTCTAGACAAGAATCCCCAATTTCTGAGCGCATAAATACAAATAATGTCTGCAAGATGCTCAAAACAAGAATGCACATCAACAGATAGCTCATTTGGTGCTCTTAGAGTGAATTTATTGTGTGGAAGTGTGGCTGAGTTTTTCCTAGTTTATGGGAACTCCCTGCTTGGATAGCCTCCAGGCCTCATGCACCTGTGTTGGGGGACCACTGTTGCAGAGCACCTGCTTGTGTTGCCTGCTGACATTGCATCTGGCTTTCCATGCCTGGCCCTTTTACTCGGTAAAGGATATTGGCTCATCTCCTAAACTGGCTTGTTGAATTGGGGATCGTCAGGCAGGCTGTGTGTGTGTCCATTTAGGGTTGGGAGTGACTCTGGTTTAGTGTTGTGAAAATGCTACGAAAGGGTTTTTGAACACGTGGTTCTGTCTTGGTTTGCCTTATTTCATTTGTTACTCTGTGTGCATTTTGTATCCAGAGGTGAATGTTTGCATTGTAATGGGAAAGTGCCAAGCGATCTCCATTACACTGAAAGTCTACTGCCCCTTGGGGTGACAGCCAGGCGTGCAACATCATAGGACAGTTAAATCCACAGGACCAGTTACAGAGCAGCAATTCAAATCATTTTGATAATTTTGTTAACTTGCTAATAGCCACAAGAAGCTCTGTCATCAGTTAGTATGAGCATGCATAGGAACACGTTAAGATGCAATTTGTGTTTTATGAGCTGCAAGCCCGGTTATATATTGTGCCGTTGAAGCAGAAAAATGGTAGCTGTTTTAACCTAGGTCTCCACAGGGTCATGCAAATCCAGTTTAAATGTCCATCTTGCACTGATTTATATGCAGGATGTCAGTGCTTGTTAGGTATCAAATGAATCAAGCTGCTACTATAGGTCTACATCTAAACATAACCATCAACCAGTGTGCGCCAAGTTGATTTTAAGACTCAGACTTGATCAGTGGGTCAGTAGTTTTGTTGCAGCTTTGCTGTCATTTTATTAAGCCTTAATTTTATGTCACATGAAAATGAGTAAGATTCTAAATGGATACCCTTTTCACCTGGAAGTCCATTAAATAAGCCAGGATGGAATTAAGTAAAATGTCAGTTGAGAGCTTAGTTGGGGGGACCATGAAGTACTTGAATAACATCATCTGGAAGTCTTTTAAGAAATTTGTTTTAGGAGATTTGCATATCCCTAAGGTTAGTTAACCTTGGTCTTGGATGGCTGCAGTCCTGTTGATGTTCAGCTTTTGGAGAACTGGGGAAAGGGGTTGGTTTAAATAAGGTAATCAGATTAAGTGGTAAAAGGCTGACCTAGAATGTAAAAGTGTGAACACCACCACCCTCCAGGGCTACAGTTAAACACTTGTCCTTGCACAGCTACTGACCAGATCTATTTTAGGTACCATGTCATTGTTAAAAAGTCATGTTTTCCTTTTCTGTTCTCCAGTTGCTGGATTGTAATATGGGCCAGCCCGCCATTTAAAAAAAAAAAACACTGCCTGGAAATATGGAAACTTGCTTATAATCAAATTGTGAGTCAGTTTATGGTTGTTTATTGCAGTTTGTGTACTGTACTGTGGGGTACAGATTTTACAGTCTAGCAGTGATTTATTCAGTATGTGCCCGATTGTTTTTTTTTGCGTTTCTGTACGAATGGGGAAATGCCTCAGCCAGTAATTTTGCATTTTAGACACTTTAGCTACTGAGGTAGGAGTGTGTTGATTGGGGAGAAATTTAGGTATCTATTTGAACTGGGGCTTTTGCAAATTTGACCACTCTTTGCCAAGGCTGCTGATTAGCAGTGTTGGTGTGTCAGCCTTTTGAACTAGTTTCATCACCATGTAATTGTGTAAGGATGAGCCAGGTGTGACCTGATGTCAAGTAATTTGTACTGCAATAGAGGATCTTTCAAATCTTTTCTTATCTTGAAATAGTGCCTATTTACATTTATTGCTGTGACCTCAGGAGGGGTGTTTATTGTAAATGCATTATGCCGTCTTGCTTTATATTTTACGGATGTGATTGAACTTCAGCTCGTTATGTATATAGGCATTTGTAGGGCTGCAGAAACCTTGCACCCACCTTCAATGCAAAGTTTGCTGAGTGTGGTCTTCGCAAACAGGGCGAGCCATGCAGTGAAAGAGGCCCTGGATTTGTAAATGCCTTTACCTGCAGTTCTCTAATTGGGTTATTTTGTCTATCCATCCCATCTAATGGAAAGGCTCTTATTCTTGTTTGCATTGAAATTAATGCAGTAATTTTGTATTACTTTTTAATCTCCATAGATTGTGAAAATCTCAGTTTTCTTCCTACACTCAATTGAGTTTGAGGTGTGCGAACACATTACACCGTTGCAGTAATTTGTTAGCAGATGTCTTTTTCTTTGTAACGTCGTATGGGGTCATTCAGATTTGGCAGGTATCTGTAGTAATTATCCAAGTAAGCAATGGTTGTTTGCACTTTGATTTCAAACATTTTCTCTCAATTTTGTCATTAGTCTGTGAAAAGCTTGACCATGAAAACCATTCTCTTGCCAGTACTGTATCCACCCATTAATACAGGTCTTGCATGACCATACATGCAGTACCATCCAGAAGTTTGGAGACCTTGTTTGGGGATCCATTCCTCTTCACTCTAATTCTTAGGCCCATGAGTGTTTGCACCAGTGAATACTTCTCATTTTCACGTGTGTTGGTGAGGAGGTTGGAATGAAGGCAGCCATAATCATATTGGTAAAAACAGCTGTACGGTTTAGAAGCGTCTTGTGTGCATGTCATTTATGCCCCTGGATATAATTGACCTACTGATGGAAATTGTGGCAAAGCCTGCAATGTCATAATTTTTAGAGGATTTGGATGAAAGCTGTTGGGGGTAGTAATAAAGGCTCCTTGTTTTAAGAAGCAGGTAACCTAAGTGGCTTTCTCGGGCAGTCCAATAACCAGTGGCAGTCGTCCAAGAGAAAGGCAGCGCCGTGGCCTGCTGTCACATTGCGTGTAGTGTATTATCAATGACTAGGCAGTTATGTCGAGAAGAAGAGTGATCTAGGAATTACAGTGAAAAGTCTCCAGTTTGTGGTACTTCCACACTTGTCAGTCCTGTGTGTATGTTGTTGGAATACCAGCCAGCATTGTCAGCTCTCCCCAGAGGAAGATGAGTGTCCCCCATGGGAGACCTGCAGCCTTGAACAAGGAGAGAGGCAAGACAGATCCTTTTACAATAATTCTTTGCAAATTTTCAGCAAGGACTGCTGGTGAATGCTGCTTATGAAAACTTAAGTTTCCTTAAACCCCTTTCTAGCCACTGCTCAAACAGTGTTATTGGTTCAATTTGTGGTGTAATCTACATATGATTTTCTATTTTTTTTAAACCGGTT